GATACAAAAGGAAAGCGTCCTCCTGACTATAACGATTCCCTGATAAACAGAATGTGGGATGTTATCACATGTTTTATAGACAAAATAATAATCAGTTATAAATATTCTCCTGCAAACCTAAACAAGAGGATTTCTGTTGTGTTCTTTGCATCTACGGTAAAGAAACTGATGAAGGAGTAGCTTTACCTGGGAAGGCGTGCGGGCTGGACGAGCCTCTCTTCAGGCACTTGGAACAGAGGACGTGGACGGAGTAGTGCAGGCCGGGCCACTCCTGCAGCAGCGCGTTCAGCTCCTCCACCAGCGGCATGACGGCCTGCCAGGCGGTCCAGATGTTGGGCAGCGAGGCGTGGCTGGCGACGGACAGAGTCTCCGGCTGCAGTCTCCCTTTAGACGGCCGGTGGCTGACCACCACGGGGACTTTGCCCCGATAGGCCAAGATCTGCCGCCTGCCATCCGACCGCTGCACCACGTGGCTGTTTATCTGCACGCTGAAGCGCGCGAACAGTCCAGGAGGAAACAGGAACGGGAAGCTGTACCGGATGTGCAGCTGCTCCACGGAGAAGAAGGGGCACAGAGGCAACGAGGAGGAGGACCCGGCCGAGGCCTCCGCCCGGGGCTCCTCGCTGCTGACGTAGCTGGGGAACTTGTACCACGCCGTGGCTCCGTTCAGAGGCCGGCAGCGAGGTTTGTTGATGCAGTAGCAGATCCCCATCTTCTCCAGGAGCTCCATGATGAGGTGGAGGTCCTGCTGGGTCTGGATGAGCGGCCGGAGGAGCAGACGGATGACGTTGGAGGGCAGGAGGCCGTGTTGGAGGAAGCCCTCCACGTGGTGCTGTAGATGGGTCACCCTGAGATTCTCTCCCTTCTCATCCTCTATTACCAGACTCACCCTCCCCTTGTCCCCCCTCTCCCCCTCCGAGAGGAGCCTGTCCAGCAGCGAGGACTCGTCCCTCTGGAAGAAGATGTTGAGAATAGCAATGAATCGTGGAAGGTTGTGAAACACGTACTCCTTCAGGGTGAGGCTGTCCTCGAAGTAGAGCAGCTTCCCGCTCTCATGCAGGTAGGACAAGGCGCTCTGCAGCCGGTCCTCAGTCAGCCCCGCCTGGAGGCCCAGACGGGCCGAGTCCCACCACGACAGCCACAGGTCTTTGGGCTTAAAGTGTAGCTCCTCCAGCATCTGCCAGGACTTTGGCAGCACGCGGTGGAGGTTGGGGAAGATGTCCCTGTGGTCCGCGACGGACATGAGCTTCTCCCTCAGCCTCTGGATGTTCTTCTGGCTCTCCGTGCAGCTGACGCTCAGCACGGGAGACAAGATCTGCAGCCGGTGGTTCAGCATGTACTGCAGCTGGGATTTCCTCCGCCTCAGGTTCCTGTCGGAGACGCCGTAGAAGAGGACGTGAGGGGTGGAGGAGCGGAGGTTGTAGCCCTGCTCCAGTGCCTGGTCCACCTGCAGAGCCTGGCTTCCCAGGACCTGGATGTCCCTCTTCTCCTGCAGCCCGATCTGTCTGTGGATGTCCAGATTTTTCTCCTCCACCTCCGCCTCTCCACACAGGTCCTCGTGAGTCCCCACCAAGCACACGACAGCGTGGGGCACTTTGGCACTGAGGAGATGGAGGAAATACCCGACGTGGGCATAAAAGTTCTTGGGCGAATACGTTTTAAGATTCACAACGAGAACGTAGAGAGCACCGGGGGAGAGAAAGAAGGGATTGATGAGGTCGTAGTTTTGCTTCCCTGACAAATCAAACACCAGAAACGTGAGACAGCGCTCAGCGTCTGCCACCCAGTTCGTCACTTCGATCCCTTTGTTTCCCTGGACACCTTCGATGTCCTGCGGAACGCTCACCACACTCCGCCTCAGCCGGGTTTTCCCGGCGTTCGTCGTCCCCATCAGGACCAGTTTGAGCCGCGGCTTCACGGCGAGCTGCACCTGAGCCAGCTCCTTCTGGTAGGCCGCGATGTACGGGATCCCCTTCATGCAAACCTCGTACGGAGGCTGGATGAGGGGGTTGTCCTTCACCTTCCAGATGTTCACTTTGGACAGCTTCCCAAAGTTGTCCGGAAGAATGGCGATTTGGTTACCCTGTAAGACCAGTTCCTCCAACTTCTCCAGGTCCACGATGGAGTCCGGTAGGTACGTGATGTTGTTGTTGTCCAGCCAAAGGTTGGCCAGCTTCACCAGCTGCCCGACTTCCTCCGGGACGTAAGTCAGTTTATTCCTGCTCAGGTAGATTTCCTCCAACCCTGTGATGCTTAAAACCACCTGGGGGAAGTTCTCAAACTCGTTTGAGGACAGATTGAGCATTTTGAGTCTTTGCATGCGACCGAAAGCGGCGGGCAGCGCCGAGAGCTCGTTCCCGTCCAGCATCAGGCTCTCCAGGTGGTTCAGGTGACAGAAGGAGTCCGGCAACGTGGACATGTGGAGACTGCTGAGCCAGAGGACTTTGATGGACCGCAGCTTCACGATGTCCGCCGGTAACGCCTCAAACTTGTTCCCGGAGCAGTCCAGCTCCTCCAGCTCGCCGAGGGCCAGAATCTCGGGGGGGAACCGGTTCAGCTTGTTGTGATCCGCGTCTAGAGTCCGCAACTTGGCGAGGTCGGAGAACGATCCGGGGAGGGCGTGCAGGTCGTTGAAGCTGAGGTCGAGTTCCTCCAGAGACCGGAGCGTTCCGATCTGAGCCGGCAGAGTCTGGATTTTGTTGTGACTGACGCACAGCTTCTTCAGCACCTTCAGCTGGCCCACGCCTTCAGAGAGGCTTCTCAGGCAGTTGTGGCTCATGTCCAGCTCCACCAGCTGCACCAGCTCGAACACCACCCGGGGAACGGTGGAGAACTTGTTCCTGCGGAGGACCAGGACGCGCAGGTTGTTCAGGGTGGATCCCAGCCCGTCTGGCAGCTCCTGCAGGGAGTTGTTGCCCAGGTTGAGCGCCTCTATCTCGGCTATGTCCTCTGGCAGGATGATCTGGTTGTCTTTGGAACAGAGGGTGAGCTGGCGCAGGTTGCTCCGCAGCTTCCTGGAGCGCAGGGCGGCATCCCTCCACAACCTGGCCGTCTTCAGATTGTTCTCCTTGTCCTCCATGGCGTTGGAGCCGGACCCCTCCTCCTCCTCCTCCTCCTCCTCCTCCTTGTTATCATGGAGAGTTTTCATGGAGACCGTGCGGGCAGCATGGTGGACGGTGTGCTTCAGAAACCAGCGCGCTCCTCAACAGCAAAACCTCCACCACAGAGGAGACAAAAGACGGGTTGTGTCCGGGGATTAAGAGGCTTTTCGACGGGAGCAGGAGCAGCGTCTGCGGCGGCATCCTTTTTTTCCTGCGCCACTCAAACGCACAATGACAACAAACCGACGCCGTTACAGCTCCGGGTTTAATCCGGGATCCGAGGTCCGGTACCGCGGGTTCAGTGCGTCCTTCACGGGCGTCCTCATCGCCGAGACACGCCGTCCTCTGGAGCTCCGTCCTCCGGATATATGTCGCTCCCGAGCCGCTGAGTCTCTCTTCCTGGGAGAGGGGAGTGGAAGTGAGGCGGCCGCTTCACACTGCGTCAGATCTGGGAACCCTCCTCCTCCCTTCCTCCTCCCTACTGCTGCGTGGAGGGGAGGAGGAGGGAGGAAGGGAAAGTGATTGTTTTGTCACATTTGCTTCAAATCAGCAGATAAATCCAGAAGTGAATGTAAAAAAAAACACATTTGTGGTTGTAAGAGAAACTTTTCCAGAGTGACAAATATTTTAAATAAAAGCTTTAGACTTTACACAGTATCAATATACATATACATATACATACACACACACACACACATATAATTAAACATGCTTTAATTAAATAAAAAGTTACCATAATATGAGCTACATGGTGAAGGAAACCAGTGAATGAGACTAAAGTGACCTGTTTACCTGAGACTAGGACAGAGGACATGAGGACGGAGGGCATGAGGACTTTGTCTCCATCTGCAGGACAAATGAGGAACAAGTCAGTTTAGTCAATAAAGTATATTTATATGTATGTTTATGTGAAGGAGGATATGGATGAGGCTTGTGCTTTGACCCAGAATCCTCTGGTTTAAAGATGCTTCATCATCATCATCATCATCCTCACATGCAGCATATTGAAACATGAAGCTTTCAATAATCTGAAGACACATTTGAAGGTATTCCTTTAGTTTACAGGTGAAACACCAGTTTTACAGACTGATGTACATCAAGTTCAGATCCTGGGTCAGTTTAACAACCTGCTGGTTTCACTGTCTTCATGATGTTCTGTCTGAACGTCCTCTCCGTCTCAGTTCATCTCCTTACATAAGTGAACCTGCAGAACAAACAGCTTCAGATCCAGGTTCACCTGAGACTGGGTCAGACCAGCAGAGACCTGGAGGACAAGTCCACCGCTGACCAGATGAACTCTGTGGAGCAACCAGAGGAACAGGACTCAACGGGTTACAGGAGGAGGAAGAGTCTGGATCTGAGATCCTTCAGGACTACATGAGGACTCTGTGCACCAATCAGGGTTCATCGTCATGGATCTACATGTGGTGACCATGAGTTTGGTCTAATCTGATAAATCATCTGCAGAGTTCAGTTTCAGAGGAGTTAGCCTAACAGTAGTTTAATGACCATCACAGCAGAACTGTGTAATATTCTCTCTTCATAGATATTCAGTCTCCTTTTGTTTGTATTTTTTGTTAACTTGTGCAAATAAACAAAACTAAAAGAATTCTGTTTCCTGCTCGTTTGAATAGTTTCACATCAAACTTTAAACATTGAATAACTTACAACAAGAAGTTAAAATGTTTGACTTTATTGACTAATTCACACACATTAGAACCCCTCAACACTCGTGAACATGTGCGTACAGATTAATATTCAAATATGATTTTAATAACAAACTAACAAGGTTTCTCTCTGCTGTTCAAAAACAACACAAATAAAAGGTGCAAAAGGTTCACGTGAGACATTAAAGAGGTTCTAATCATTCATTCAGATCAACACAGAACATCATAATGCTAAAAACACCTCACTTTATTACAGCAATAATTAACATGGATTGCACATTTGATTCCGATCCGGCCGACAGACTTTGTCTCAGCTGATGTAGCAGCTCACGGTGACGCACTCCAAGACGGAATATTAACTCCAATAATCAATTCACGGGTTCAGACGTTTAATATCACGGTGAACGGAATGTCTGCACCAGAAAGAAAAAAAGACTCCTGAAGACGCAAAGTTAGACTCTAATGACGTCCAATTGATCAAGAACACGAGTAACTCGGGTAATCAGGTACCCTTTGGACAGAGAAAAGGATTCTATGGTTCGTCCACATTTTGCATTCAGAGCAGCAAACTGTTGTCAAAGTGTGAGATGGATCTCTTCTTCCCTGATGCAACTCAAACACCTTGAACGTTCGTACTTCCTGTTCAGTAGTACGGCCCCGTGTTCTCGTATCCGGCGTAACTCGGCCAATCGGGGAAGATCCCGTGTGAGCAGGTGGGGCTGCCGTATCGGTCAAAATGAATCCCAAAGTCAAAGGAGTCCGTGTGGTGGCTGCTGGCGATCTGCCGGCTCCTCTTGGCGGAGGACCAGACAATCCGGTAGTTGCTCCCGTGGTTGCTGTCCCAGTGCTCCCGTCCACAGACTGTGTAACAGACGGCGAACTCCACGCGCTCGTGAGGCCCCAAATGATCCGGCAGAGAAGCGCTGAAGGAGAAGGTGTCGCTGTAGGAGGTGGGATACGAGTCCTTCACGTACTCACAGTCTACGTCCCTGTGGCTCCTCCAGCCGTCGAACGTCAACCGCAGCGTCACGGACTTCTCAAAGGACATGTTTTTGACCTTAACGGTTCCCGCCAGAGCCTTCTCCTTCAACACGCAGTGCTCCAGGCAGACGTAGTTCCTCTCCAGACTCTGACGGAAGTGCAGGTAGTCCGAGGAGGGCTGAGTGAAGTCCAGCACCAGTTGGTCCTCCTCGGCGTTCAGAGACAGAGCCGAGCTGAGCATCTCCTGGATGCTCAGAGGGATATCGATGGGGTCGTCGAACTGAGAGAAGGTCTTCACTTTGGTCAAAGACAACCCTCGGTGGTCGGCAAACGTCACCCGCTTCTTGGCTTTTCTCGAGTCTTTCCTGGAGGCTTGTTTGTCCTCGGGTTCCGTCTGGTCCACGCAGAGGGAACGCTGCAACCTCAGGCAGGAGTTCAGCGCGGGTTTGCATGTTTTAGGAGACATCCTGTAGACAAACTCCTCCTTGGACAGGTACAGAGGTAAAGTCATGTTGATCCGCAGGGTGGGCTCTGGAGGAAACTCACACGGGCAACTGAAACAGAGAAGACATGTGGTGGTTAGAGCGTTCTGAGGGGGGTCACATGAGGAAAGTCTCTATTGAGGTTTATGAACGAAGCTTTGAATGTCTGTCATCATATTTCACGACGTTACCACCCAAAACCATAGCAAGAAGTCATTTATGGTGCTGTTAGATTGCTGCTAGACCGCCTTGATAATACAGGTGTGTGTGTTTGTGTGGGTACGTTGATAATCAGTTCTATGTACTCCTGTGACAGTTAACTGAACATCTTTGCGTTGTGGACAGAACGAGACGTTAGAGGACGTCGGGAAACACTGATTCAGATTTTCCAACATTTTCTAGACCAAACAACTAATCGATTAATCTACAAAATACTCGACAATGAAAACAATCGTTGGTGGCAGCCTTAGAATAAACACTAACAAATATGGATTGAAGCATTATATTTAGTTTAAAACATTTACATTTTGACGAGGACTCTTAATTATGAATCCCACTGCTTTTCTTGGCAGGAGCCACTGATTGGTTGAGGTTAGGTATTGACCTCGAGTAGTGAGGGTCAGGACAGCCGATCGGGCAGAACCTGAACCAATCAGGGACTGGTTCCTCTGGACATCCGGCCAATCCTAGCACTTGAATGTCGCGTCTTGCAAAAAAAAGCAGTGGAGTCACAACAGAAGGTGGGCTAATACATGTAATGTTTCTGTAAGTTAATAATAATAATAATAATAATAACTGTTCAGTACACCCTGCACTGGCAACGGGAACACAGGAGGTGCTTACACATAACTTAATTTCTGAACTTATTTGTTTGCATTTCTTTGTATGTATGGATGAGTCGGGTTGTTACCAACATCTGGTGAAAAGTTCATGTCAATAGCACCTTTAGAAATATATTTACTGAGAAAAATGGTGACGCGTTCAATACTTATTTTACCCGCTGTGTGTGTAAGTAATTTTTTATATATATATATATATATATATATATATATATAGATATAGATATAGATATATATAGATATAGATATATATATATATATAGATATATATATCCCCAAATTCACGTTTAGCTGCTGCACTTCCACTGCCTTCTGTCTCACTTCACTCCCACCATAGGACACATTATGAACATCACCTCCACTATGAACTCCTCTATGAGCACCTCCACTACTACGAACACCTTCAGCTCAGTCCCGTCGTCATATTTCTCTCTTTGCTACAATGTTTCCATATTCTTGTGATGTGAAACACTTCAAAGGCAGCGCAGAGTAACTTAAACGTCACTTTATCAGACAGCCCGCGACTCAGAGCCCCGGACTAACTTTCAACCATCAACCCTCCTCTTCCTCATCACCTGACCTTCCTCTCTACTACTGCGGTTATTTTTTCCTTCAGTCCACATATTTAAACCTTCCCTCCTTTCCTCTCCATCACCGTCTCCTTCCCTCCTTCCCTCCTTCCTCCTTCCTCC